TAAACCGGATTGACTCACCAGCCTCAAGACTGGATTCTGTATCACCCACCTGACCAGACATCCTCCTAGAGATTATACTTCTACATATACAACCGATTATATGTAGTAGATAGATAGTAGTAGAATATGTAGAGTAGATTTTGTTTTCTATTAACATAATGAGGAAATGTTGTTCAGTAATGTATCCAGAAAGTTGCAACAATGTTACTGAACCTATCAGTAAAATGTTCACTGTCAACATATTCAATTTGTTTTCTGCTAAATGTTTGATCTTGCAATACAATACATGCTTGATGGGAGCATTATCAAGCTTTTTCTATGATCATGTTTTGGCAACGGCGTCTTTTTTTTAAGGTTTAAGGAGAAGATCATGGTCTGGTTTAATAAAGAATAGTTCAAAATTGTTACACAGGTGAAAATAACTCAAACTCTGTCTCTCTCCCAGGAGGGCTGCATCCGTGGTTTATGAGTCACGCAGATCCCCTCGTGTCAGCCTTGATCCTCCCGTATATATTCGACACACAATCTACCTAACTACAAGATAAAGGTGGAACTCTGGTGCGCAGGTTAAACCAAGTTGATTTCAGGTTACATCTAATAACCGTTCAATATTTTAAGACCAAGAATTGAGAGCAACTTCTCAATTTTGAAGTGCATCTATCAAAATCATTCTCAAATGCTAATTATAACATTTTGAGATATTAGAGCACACATTCCAATTCAATGTTGAATATTTCCTTCAAAGTGACTGTTACAAAACCGAGGTTAGAAGAATAGAGGAAAGGATGAAGCCTAAAGACCTAGAAACAGAATATGTCCTCCTCATTTATGCACTTTGATTTTTGCAGGCATCCGTCCTTCTCTTAAAATCAAAGAGATGCAAGATTCTCTTGGGATGCTGTCGTCCCAAAATTAAGTTTTGGCGTTGGGCCTAAAGTGATGAATTGAAGATAAAGACCAGAATACAAACGATTTCCAAAACAGCAGGAATCATCACTCTGTCCAGAAAAAGCTGCAGTATTTATCTCCATCATCCCTTTGGTTTTCTCTTAAGCGACGAGTTGGTAAAGTGCAGATTCTGTGTCCTGTTTGTGTAATGTTATATAATATCTGGGTATTAAAGATAAGATATTTGTCAGAATACCACCTACAGCCAATGTTGCCCGGTCCCTGTTTAAATACATTATAAACAATAAAGACTATAATGAGAGGCAGGAGAGCGAATATTTCATGAAAACTAAGACGATGAAATGGACTTGCTGTATTGGCAATTTCATTGTGTCATACCAGGTTATATGTAGATTTACGGCATAAGTGATGAGTGATAATTCTGGACACTCAGTTCAAAAACCATATCATCCAACTATCAAGCAAAGAATTTCTGTCCGTCTGTATACCTCTCTGTCTGTACGTAGGTATGTATGTTCTTCGCATATCTCGAAAACCGTTCATCCGATCTACTTTACACTTGTCGGCTATATTGCAGGGGACCCAGAGGAGTGCAGTGTCGAAGTTTGTGCACTTGTGACACATTCAATATTAATCAACTAATCTAATGAGTTCTATTACTAAACATTTATTGGTGATTTTTTTTATAATTTGCCATGGCTCAGATGAAAGGTCACTTTATTTTACTTGTTTCAATTTAGATGTGAAGGTACTACTTTGTGGTTGAACTCTGCTCTCTGTTTAGCATCACTAACCACAACATTAGATCTGGCTTAATTTCCTGTCACGGGTGTTTCTGGACTTTAACCTCCAACTTTTGGAATTGTGAGGGAATGTCGTCAATGTTTGCCATTTCCATCTCCTTGATGTTTTAGTTATTTAGTCGGCTGTCTTTATCTCCACTCCGCAGACAGAAGCATATTAATACCCATCAATAATGGCACGTACTGCACAGAACCCTCGCCTTGAAAGTTTAGGAGGAACAATGATCTGTGATGTAAATTTATGTTAATTAAATTTGCTCTAGAGGGGAAAAGTGTTTCTGTGTTTCAGCTTCATTTAACAAGGAAACAAAAGACCTCTGCTGCGTGTAAAACTGATTTTCTACCATATTTTCTTGTTACACTAATGACAATGCAAGGATCTGAATTGGCGCACAAGTTTACTTTAAGCTCATAAATTAAGAATATGAGTGAATCCGATATAAAAGCAGGTCAAAACTTAGAGTAACTTATTTTAAGAAGCTCATTTGACTGATGACATGCTTCATTAATATCAAGGGCAGCCCCGTCAGTCATGATGGGTTTCACCAGAAGACTAATGCAGATAAAAGGCTGCACATAACTTAAATCTGATCAAAGAGTGGGAGAAAGAAATTGAGCAGGTTAAGGTGTTAAAACGAGGGTTTTCTCAGCTCATATCATCGTATTTCCTCAATTGGACCAAGGAGGACATTTACTTCCCTTTAGCCTTTACCCTTTAGACTCAGATTTAAAATATACTGCAAGGCTAATAAGGGAAGTGGGAACAGGTGAGCAGATGGGGGGGGGGGGGGGGCAGTCAGGTGATGGGGAATGGAGGGAACAGGGGTTTACTGAGGGTCAGAGGGGAGTAGCTGCTTTTGACAGCAGAGTTAACAGGGAAATGAACAGACTGGGAGAAAATAATGACATGAATCAAGCTGATGCTGTGACACAAGTGAATAATTCACCTGCTAAAAAAAAGTATTGATGATAATGATTAATGATAATGCTTACTGGTAATATGTTGGTCTCTATGCAGCTCAGTTTCCTGATTTTGTTTTAAATATGCTCGATGATTTCTTTACAACAAAGATTTTAGATTAATAAGCAAATGCTGCTTGTTGTCTGTGATACAATGGTAAAGACTGCACCATCAAGAGTTAATACTATATACACACTGCAACCACGAAATACAAAAAAAAAAAAATCGAAGTTACTGCAACAATCTGGATTATTTTGTCGTGTTTGAAGATACAGACACTCACCGGCTGGAGGAGCAAACTGCATGTTTGTAGATTTACAGTCATCTAAAAAGCTGAACATCAAGAGGTTACTTGGGCCAGGTGCCCACATGACATTGTTTTGTTTTGTTTGAGCACAGTAAGTTGCCTTGTATAATTTATACAGTATGTTGAAATTGGCCAGAGTGACAATTTGGTGTGTACAACTAGTCACACTAGCAGACAAAATCATCTAGCATGCCTGGTAATGATCCGGACATCGTAAATGAGACCAGCTATTGATTCTGAAAACTTCATCTATCTGCTTCTGGATGGTGCGCAAACAAATGCCCCATTATATCCTGGAAATAACAATGTGATCTCCACAGACCTTTTGCATCTACACCTAGTTCTAATAAGCATTCTCATTATCTTGATCCTCGATACACTTTTACTAACAATATGCAAATCAGTTAGGTCAGGATGGCGGACTTGTCAGCAACCATAGCCAGTCCCTGAATAAGGGATTATAAAATAAGGTTTACTTTTAAAAAGTGAATTAAGTAGGTAGTAAGCGATTTGTTACCTACTGCTATACTTGCAGCTTTTGCAGTGCTTAAGCTAACAGGAAGAGGCAGAATTAGGCAACCTTACAACTTACTTGATGAGTCCGATCTGTATTCCTTGTGTGCCTTGCATTGCGTTTTATTTCCTTACAAATAACATATCCAGATAAAGATCAAATCTGAAAGTCAGGTGTTAATGGGGTCAGTAAATTAAACTGTATTTTGTCTTGAGGTCAATTTTTGAGACTGGATTAGGAGCCTTTGACCTTTATACCATGCTTTCATGAACAGCGCTGGCTCTAGTCTAAACGGTCCATCTGTCACTCCCAGCCGCTAGCAGACTACAGAGCTGCTGACTGTTCTCCTACTGAACTATAGATAACTAGTCTCCTATGGACGGGAGTAAGGCGGAGGGGGCGCGGGGTCCGTTAGCTAGCTATTTATTGTTTCATTGGTGATCTGATAATCAGTAAACTCATCAAATTCTGAACAAACTTGCAAATAGGCTATCTAGTCACCAAAATAGAAAAAAATACATTTTGGTAGGTTTCCTGCGATTGGTTCGAATGGTGTTGACACCAGAACAACTGCCACTTGACAGCGGTCCGAGACCATCCCTTTGTGGCGGACCACGGAGCGGTGGTTTAGTCCCCACCAGTGTTCCAGACCAGAGTCTGCCGTTCACGCTAATCCAAACAAACTGCACCAAGGGGGTTACACTCCAGGGCTCTGCTCAACAGAAACTAAACAATGCTGGTGTGAACGCGCCCTTAGTTTAGCTTCGTGGTGCTCCAATTGTTTTACACAGTGGCAATCATGACTCCCACTAACTAAATATAAGAAATATAAACTGCATCGTTTTCTTTGCACCACAGACGTTTTCAAAGAAAGAGCTACCAAAAAGCAGGTGTCTAGAGGAGTAGGCTAAATGCTTTCATGAACCATCATTGTTAATCCCACTCAATCATTATTGTGTGGGATTATTCTGTGCTTCAGTATCAAAGAGACATTTGTTTATTAGAAAAAACATCTTGAAGACAGATGTGGATGACAAAAACCAAATACCTCAGCAGTAAGGAAGCAAAACCATTGAACATGAAATCATTCTGAATGTAGGAAAAACAACAATTCCAACGTTTTTTCATAACCCAGGATTTAAATTATTGCAGACAAGGAAGTATAAATATCCAGTATTAATATTTGGATAGCTGGTTTGCATTGCATCATTTATATATCATTGTCAGCTTCTCTTCAACTCATTCAGTTTCCAATATCATCTCTTAGTTTACTTTTCATTCTTATTATGTTTTAGTGTACCTGTCAGGCAAACACAGATTAATGCTTCTGCAAAAGCACATTAATTGTTGGCAGAGCGGAGGAGGTGACAGACAGTCAGTGTTTTATAGTCGGTGCTGCTGAAAGCTTCACTGTTGAAAGTTACTTTGAGATTGCTGGTGCCGGCTGCTCACTGCAGGTGGTGCAGGCAAGAAGTAAAAGTACAAAAACAAATAAATAAATCCAGGTCTCTTTGTAAAGTTTTTATTTTTTCTCATGATATAAAGAAAAAGCACAGCAAGTAACATAAAAGCTTTCTGACTAACTCAAAGTCTTAAAATTTGAAAGATAATACCAAAGAAGTGACTTTACTATTGTATTCATATATACAGCATGTGTTGAAATCCTGTTTGCTTATGACAGATGGATTTTAGTCAATTCGGAAACTGCTTTTGCTGAGCTCTTATGTCCAGATGTGATACACAAATGTCAATCCTCCGCTCATTCTTCTCATATTATGACAGATAGTGTATGGCTCTGACATCTTATATTGCAAAGAAAGTGCATCGTCCTTGTAGAAAAAGTGCTTTATAAATTAAGTCCAACGTTTAGTTCAACTGGAACAAAGTTGTGTTTTGATCAACACATTAATTCTGCATTTTTCCGTTTGATAAATTATTTTCAATACATCGGAGAACTATTGTTCTAAGCACACAAATTACCATTTACATTTTTGAAATATTGAAATCCTTAAATTGAGAGCAGAAAGGAACTAAAGAAACCCTTAATAAATTGTTGTGTTTTTGACTTCACATCTCATTGATCCAGTGGCTCAGAGGCTCAGAGGCTCTGTGTGTCTAGTAACGACTGAGCTCTCGGTGAATCCTCCAGCTCTGTCCTGGCGGGTCAGTGGGCGCTCCGGGCTCCTGCTAAATGAAATACTCCTTTTGGTTTTCACTGGGAGCGCTCAGAGAGTCTGCCTGGCTGCTGAAGGGGAGCTCGTGGCCATCTTCAGGCTGTGCTGCTTTGACTTCCTGGTTTCGATACGTCTCTTTCCTGCTGCAGATGAATCTGGCCATTATCGCCAAGGCAGACACAGTGACGAAGATCACCACTGCAATCACCCCTAAAAAAAACCACGAAAGGACTTTTGATTTAAAATCACATGCATGAACGTAAGAAACAAGGTTATTTTCGGCTTTTGTGGCTTTTTGAAAACTTCCTAAAAGTGAAGAGTAACTTTTAGTCCGATATCATACAATCCGTTGTATGAGGATACCATGAGACAGAGACTGGACATTGGGTTTTAGTGAGAAACAATCAATGTAAATATGACTGTACTTTGTTTACAAGAAAACTTCAAAAGGCACCTTTAAATATGGAGCTATAGGTGGGAGGCAGTTTGCTAGAAAAGTTTAGAATTACCAACACCTCTAAAGCTCACATTTTTGTAAACCAAACTAACTTTTGCGACAAAAAATGCCACTTGACTGAGTTGAACGCTGCATTTAAGTGCAAATCTAAAATTCTTTTGTCAACAAAGAGCAAACCCTCTTTACACACTTCCTCAACCGTTAGGATATTTACTTACTCCTGCTAAAATCAATTGCATTACCTCCAATTAGTGCTGAGTCACTCCTGATGGCGTTGACTAAAGGTTGACCTGGATCCACAGAACCAGGTTGGTCTGTCGAGAGAAAGACAAAGAAGAAAAAACAAACAATAAAAGCAGAAAAAGAGTCCAGAAAAGAAAGGTAAAAAGTACAAATAAGCAAACGTATAGCAAAGATGAAGCAGGAGAACAAAGAAGATGAGGTAAAGGAGTGTATGGGGATAGATAGAGTCACTGTGAGAACCATCAGTCAGTGCAGACAGTGCTTGTTTGAAAGCCTCGGAACAGCCTCAAAGGACTTCACTAGAGTTGTCTGACTAATCTCATCTGTTGTAGTGCCATCACTTTGTCTGCTTACCGTGGAGGATGGTTAATGAGCCCATAAAAAGTCTAATGAACAGCCCTAAGAATACTATTGAAGACATACCAGAAAGGGAGACGGGTGGGCTGGTTGCCTCATGATATTCAGTATATGGGATATAAGGACCGAATCTGCTTCTTGTACCTGATAAGGAGTGTGTGGTTTCTGTCGCGTATGGATTGGCCGGAGAGGAAGAACCACAGCTGGACTGGGCCAACGGGCCACTGACAATATCAGGGCTGTCAGGGTGCAGCAGAGCGACTTTCAGAGGACTGATGGAGTTAAAGAAAACTCCTGACAGACAGCCGGTGAATCCAAGAGAGGCCAAGCTGACAAGCTCTCCATCCAACTCAGCAGAATCTGAATACAGAGAGAAACTGAGTGAGAAGACGCATTCGTTATCAGCAAGTTCCAATTACACATTTGACATAAACCAGTGATACACATTTATCTTGATGAGGGCACGTTTGCGATGATAAGTGGTATCTATCTAACTCTTAATTATTTTAATATCCATTTTGATGCTGCAAAACTTGCTGGAAATGATTGTGCAAAATAAAACTCTGGATGAAACTGAAAAACCACACATCACGTTCAAAGGCTTTTTTCATGTTTTTAAATGTTGAAGGCCATGTTTTAAAACAATTATTCCTATAATATTCATGCATGCTAACTGCAGTCTGGTTCTATAATCGTACAGGCTTCGCCCTCTAAAGGCTGTCGCTATTGGTTTGATCCCCGCGCACATGTGCAGTCTTGTGCCCTGCATGGGCCTCTTCTGGGGTCCGCCCAGCTGCCGGACTGGCTACATCCTCCAGTCAGACCGTCATTCCAGCAGCATAGCAGCCTCAGTGCTGTCCATGCCGGGCTAGTGCTTAACCCACAGACCTCTTGCCAGTTCTGTCCTCGCTTGGCCGAGGAGCTGCGGTGAAGGGCGGAGGCACAATAGCAACAGCGCTGATAGAACTATAGCCTGAGGGGGATTGAGCATGGGTGCGACATTATCTGCTGTAACCGCCGTATGAGTGCAGTGCGGCGCGGCGGCCATTGGACTGAAAATGTGGCCCCCTGAACAATTTAGCTGAATTACCCTGCTGTATAGTATGAAAGTGCCGGGTGAATACCTTCATGTTCCAAGAGCGGAGTCAAGTGAATATTTTTACCTGATGATGCGTATGTCACTACTAACAGTTATAACTTTCAGGATTTTGTCACTCACCAGATTGCCTCCCAGCTGTCATAACTTTGAAAAAGAAACAACACTGCCACTGAGTCTCACTTGTGGTTGATGCGCTTATGTCATTATTTGTGACAGAAGGTGCTAAATAAAATCTTCAATGACTATAAATGTCAGTGTGAACAACAATTATTCCTGCAGTGCAATTTGATTACACAGCACATTAATGCCACTCATCTAAGTTATTACCGGTGAGAAGCAACCTTTCACCACATGGGCTACTGCAGAGTGGCCTGGCTGGAGAGGGCTGTTCATCAGCTGTATATTTGATCAGGCTTTGATTAAGTTTTAAATTGCATGTGATCCTCTGAGCAGCAGGAAATAATTTGACTTTGAATTATATATCTTATGACACACGTATATCTATTGAGCAGCCTGCAAGGTGGAAGGCAAATAAATGAGACGGGAGAAAAAATGTAATGACACAACAGATTTAATTAACAACTAAAAAAAACACTGTAGACGCAGTGCCTCGTGGCATCACGGTGCGCACCATGTGCCGCCCTTAGCACCAATAGAAAGCGCAATGCTGCAGCGCATCTATTTCTTTTTTACATGATTAATACTACTTTTTGTACAGTAAAATAACTGAGTAAGTACTTCTTCCGTGTGTGCACTCCCTTAAAATCATGTAGAGACGCTCACTAGCAGATTTTCAGAGCTATGGCTCGCCCCTGCCAATGTCTTCATAGACTACTGCAGGGATGACGTATTTTCATAGGCCAGCCCCAGATGTTAGCTTCGCACTGGTTCCCTCGACAAAAGTGCAAAAATGTTAACTCATTTACAGAATTTAGGATTAATTTCTGCAGCACTCTATCACGACGGGATTGTGGGTTGAGATATTTCTCAATTTTAAAAACCTCTTTCCTCAACTATTCATTAATATACACGAGAGGAGAGGAAGTCAAGCTGCCATGGGAGCAGAGAAGAAGAGAAGAAGAGGCTGAAAATAGGACAGTGGTGTGAAGTGGCGTGGCGCACCGAGTGCCAGTATGCGCCTAGGGGCGGCTGTTTTGACGTGCGCTATTCGGCGACAGTGTGTCTTGGCTCTTAGTGTACCTTTTTTTTCTTCATTGATTAGAAGACTTTTTCTCAATATTAGCTTCACTACAGCTAACTAGCTATTATGTTGTCAAAAATGCTATATTTGTAATAATATCTATGAGGAATATCTATGAATATGGTGAAAACAAAACCCCAATATTTGGAACCAAACAACTAAAAGTAAGTATAAGAGATACTGTAATGTGTAGTGTTTCTTTAAATGAAGAAACTAAAATAAAGAAAAAATAAATGAAAATAAAAAATAAAATGTGTTTGATGTTTGTGCGAGCCGTTAAACCTTACACTGACAACACTGGCCTTGTATCCACAAACTGAGGATTACTGTCCACCCACACCAAGCTGTTGCCCTTTACCTACACCTCTCTCTGTATCTTTATCTCACCCTCCCTCTCTTCATCTCTCCCTCTCTCTTTCTCTCTCACTCTGTGTGAGCAGCTCAGTCTCTCCATTCTTTCCTGGTCCATTAGTTAGGCTGATAGATGACAGCGCTGGCAGGGAGTGACAGTATATCAACTATCTGGCTGCCTCTGTGATACTGATATGACTGCCGAGTCCTCTGGCTCAGCAGAGGGAAGGCTGGGTCACACAGCAACATGCTCTGGGTCAACAGCAAAAAAAAATTCAAGGAGCTGAATGTAAAAACAGGACCGACATCAATTCTAAGCCTATAGGTTGGGATATTCTATAGAATTCAGTTCTGTTTCTGGTTCTTCTTCTTATCATTCTTTCAAATTGTGTCATATTATGTAAGAAAGAAAATAAACCAAACTATTGTATGTTGAAAGCAATAAACTTAAAGTAGGTAAAAGCAGGCATAATTAACAGCCAGTTGACCTTTTGATCAGCAAACTGTCGAGCATGTACTCTGCCTCTCACCCAATATGTGCTACGTTTCCAGCTCCAGAGACCCTCAACATGATAAGCAGGTTAAAAAAAGGATGGATGGACAGATGGATGATCAGATTTTAGTTCTGTTTCAGTTTAACTTCTTTTAATACAAACACTGCTGGTTGGCCCTCCACCAGCTAACAATTGAATGGCTTTTATTTGTCAAGGAGTTTTGGTCACCAAAGTGACAGAAAAGTGAATGAAAGCAAGACAGACCCACATGTTTGTGACAGCATTTGTTTGGTGCTGTCCAAAAGTAAACACAGCAGACAATAACACAAAGGCATCACAAATGTGGTACAAAGTCGTTCCCCTTTAAGAGCAGCTTGGGACAGACGGATCAGTCCTGAGGACAACAGGATTGATGTGAACGTAAAATGTTCTGTCAGGCAGAGAGAGGCTGAACTATACTGTCTGACTTCCTGGTTTAGTTTGACCCCACACACAGCAGCTGAGACTTATTGGTTGTTATGCTATATTGCCGGGTGCTGACTCCAATCTTCCAAGTAATTTGTTCTTTTCAATCTCTCCTCATTACCATACAAAGTGAAGGACCTTTTCTAAAGTTATTACCATTACAGCTGTCTGAAGCCCCGCTCAGCGAGACAGACATGAAGACTGAATTACTCACCGCTTTCGATAACAAAGATAAAAGTTCGCCAACGTATACTGTATAATGTCAACTTATGTATTACTGAGAAAACAATGCCATTTGCACAGATACTTTCCCTACCTCCCTTCAAAATGCATCTAATGCCACATAACAGCGACTTAAGTGGGTGGCTCAACCTTTTGTCATTTCTAAGGTTCTTATTTTGCATCTCCACAGTAAAGTGCTCTCTCTGTGACCGTTTGAATATGGATGTCAACTTGTTTATAAAAAACACCACAGCTGTTGCTCAGACTGCAGCTTTCCCTCTGGTCCACCCAACATGATGAATAGAAAACAGCATAAAGCTCCAGAACAGTGTTTTGTCGCATAGGGCACCAAACATCTCAGTGCTGTTATTCAAACGAGTCTGTTTAAGTACTGGAGTCTGAGCTAAGAGAGCCTCACTTACCCTGCACTCTGCCCAGAATGAGTGATTTGATGCCATTGAATTCCACATCAGATGTCAAGCTGAAGTCCTCCCTGGTATTCTGGTCGATCTGAAAGATAATGTATGTCACATCTGTAAAGGTAAAAGTTTAGCAGGTAGAAAGCAAAACCTGATAGCAGCAACAAACTGTGGAGGACAACTTTCTATTGTTAAGTGTTTAAATAAAGGATGCTCTGTGATGAAACGACGAATGGCTGCAGAGAAGGAAGCAATTACACATGAAAAGCTAGCCGGAGGCTGAACCTCTGGTTTGACCTGCATCATGTTTAAATGGGATTCAACCCCAAAGCTGGAAACCAATAGACCCGTGAGACACAGTGGTTCACAGTAGCTGAGCAGAGAAGTGGAGCAGGTTCTGAGATGGTAAATGCCTCAGAGAGAGAGACACTTTTATAATAAAAGAGCGTGCGTGATGCATTGCTTGCAAACACAGAGATTTGGATTTTAGTGGATCATTTATCAATAAGACATCCTCTAATGTTGATCAACCTGAGATGAAATGGGAGCCACTGAAAAGGAGGAGATAGAAAGTAGCTGGCAAACAAAGAGGAAAAGTAGGATTTATTTATCTATCTATTATATCAGGTTTCTAAAAGCTTTTAGTCAGAGGAATATCTGCAGACATTTTGATGCCCGCGGTGAGATATCCACTGGCACGCCGGATGGGATTGATCCTTTAATCATAACTTTTTATCCTATGATGATATAACAATGTGAAGATTATTGCTTGCCGACGTTCACCGTCATATCATTAATTGAAACTGCTGGCTGATGTTTCTGTATTCTGTGGTTGGTCAGTGTTTAACTGAGCACAGTGGGATGACAGGATGAATGACAGCTGTCAATTGGAGAGCAAACATCTGGATTTATAGCCAATACCTATTAATCACAATTCCTGGATTGGTCATGTGTTCCTGTGGATGGGCTCAGGACAACCTTACATTTATTTTCATTCCAGGATGTAGATTATTCAAAATTATTTTTATCAAGTGCTCCTTTGCACAAAGTTGTATCCCAGTTTGGATCATATTATGACTTGGAGGAACATAAGTAAGCTATAGGTACTTGTATACATGTAAACATGATTCATTTGCTGCGGGAGAATGAACCATGGGGTGCGTTAGTGTCCCTGTGCAGTCTTCCTTTCATTATTGAGTGTAGTGTGAGCAGTGGGTTTATTTACCAATGTAATGCATTTTTGGATGACATACCTTTAAAGGAACATTGAGCATGCGAAATTAATTCAAAAAGATGTCTTTCTACGCTTTGGTTTACAGTGTTTGCGGTGATCTGTGAGACACAGTGTGAGTTATGTGTGTGTACCTGAACAGAGACGGTGTCTGCCAGTCTCCTGATGATCACCGTGTGCAGACGTCCATCAGCCAAGTTGGTGACTCTGCTCCCCATCACTTCCACATCTCTGCTGCTGTGCAACTTGTACCTCAATTCCAGCTCATCTTTGCAAACACAGAACACCACAATCTTACTATTTAAAGCAAGCATTTACAAAATCACAGACAATCAAGTTTCAATCGTCTTTTCTTTCTTAGTAATGAAGCATGATTTTAACTTAAATCTATTCGATTATAATGTCAAATTACAACATTCAGGAAGAGCTTTATTTGTCCCTGAGGGGCAATTTGAGTAGGGCACTGAATAATGAATATTAGACATAAAACTGATGTAATACAAGCTAGTGCTCAAAACTATTTAAGTTATATATACTATACACTACAATTGTTGATCACCAACAACAAAGGGAAGCCCATGCCATAAACGATACAAATGCAAGACAATCTGATTTAATCTTTACAGTGTCTGATCGGTACAAACATGTCTAAAATTAAAGAGAAACGTAAAGAGACACATTTTAACCAGTCTCTGATTCACTAAGCACTTTATCCTTAGAAAATGTCCATGTTCTGGCTCTGAACATCTTAGAAGACATATTCACTCCTTTAAAAGAGACATTTCATCCAGAAAGTTACCAGCTGCTGAACTAAGACTCTACAAACTATTTAATACTTTGCGGATTAATACTTTATCTCGATGAATAACTCTCCAATATTAAATTACCCCCCCTCCCCTCTTTTTTTTACAGTGATACACTTAATAAATTCCATGTCGCTGAGATAATTGAATACTCCAAGATATATGCAGACTTAACTGGTTAGCAACAATGATAGGAAATAGTCTTTTTTCAAAGATCCTAACCCTGAATACTTAATGACCTTTTCAATAATGTTTTCTGATTATGACTCACTATGTTGCTTTTTTCCACAGACTAATAGGGAGCAATTCCCAGATTATCTTGATAATAAAAACAATCTTGCAGGGGGCAAAGAGAGTTTCACACTCTGAGTGAGTGACTTGGATAGTAAAGTGTCTTTGTTTGCAGCAGCTAAGGCTCCTGTTACTACAGCAGCAATAGAGAGAAACATGAGAAAAGCCTTTGTGGTGCAGCCAAAAGAAACCTCTCTCTGGAATATAATTAGACACTTTAGCGAGACGGCAGATACCTGATGACGACTTGATAAACTATACAAAACCTTTCGGCTATTTCTCTCACTAATTAAAAAAAGCTGAAAGTTACCTCTACTAACAGCAGAGTTTATAACAAACATAAATAAATCATAACAATGATATTAAAAGTACATTTCACCTAATGGCTTAAAGGATCCCACAAAATATGTTCATCAATGGTTCAGTTTGCTAGTTTTTGTTGAAAAGTACAACATAAATCTCTAACACCTGAAGTCAACTTCACACTGGCAAAAAAACAACATGTAACTCATTCATATTTACAAGTTCCTAAAATCCTATTTTGCTATGCAGGAATGCTGGCATAGCTCTTTGCTAACCAGAGCTGTGTGAAGCTCTATGGCAAAGCCAGTGATGAAAATGTAAAGACAATAAACAATCACAATGGCAAGAACAAGGGAAAAAGGATCCCCTGCTGCAAGCAGAATTAAATTAGTAACTGCACCTAATGTTTTCCTTGAACCTTGCACTATAGCAATTAGCCTGACTGCGTGAAGATTTGGGCAGCAGAGGATGACAGACTGAATGCAGAGGGTGAAATAAATCGAGTGAGAGTTAAGAAAATGGCTGGCTGGTAAAACCAATAGAAGAAAAGAAAAATGTCATTGTCCTCACCATGTTTGTTGATGAGCAGTGCCAGGTACTCCCTATAGAAAGAGTTGACGTAGAGTAGCAGAGCAGGACACTGACTGGTCCTGAAGCTCAGGGAGATGTTTTCTCCTCTCAGCGTCATATCAGAGTAGATGGAGAAAGGCAAGGTGCTGTTGTTCCTGTTGGGTTCATAGGGCTCCTTGAAGTTGTAGGCGACGGACGTTGATGACTTAAAGCTGGCTGAAACCTCTGCAAGTTAGAAAATTGATAAGTGAACTTCCTATGTGTGGCTTTCACTCTGACATGCCCCTCTCTATTGCATCGGTAATAAACTGTCGTCACTGGATATGGAAGGAAAGACGTGATAAGTATACAAATATCTTTCTTATTTGATTTATACGTTTAATATTTTGGAAACATAATAAAAATGCATTTACAATATCAGCATATAAAAGCTAACTGAACCACACATATATACAACGTATAAGTAGTTTGTTAAGATAAACGCACTTTATTTGTAACCAAGGCCATTTTCGATTTCATGTCTAAAATCCAATACTTTTTTGTTGAATGTTCTTAACTGGTAAATTTGGTGCACTGCCACTGTTTGGCAGGGGCGGGACTTGTTATTCCCCTCTCTGCGCTCATTTGCTCGATAGCTTCTTTGTTGTTTCATGTCACGATGCTAGATGAATCAGAAAGCTCGGTTGAGTATATGCAGGGAAATAACTTCCAGTTCAGGTTGCCTGGAATCAGAAGATTTTGCTGATGTTCTAGGAGATGACTTCAAAACTCCATTTACTGTGACCAGCCTAGAACCAGTAATAACCATCAGTAAAACCGCAAGTTGTTTGTATGCCTTGGATTTTGTTCAGATTTTAAAAATCAAGTAAAAAAACAAACAAAACAACATGTCAATAAGTGAGCTTTTAAGGTGCTGGTGGGGAGATTTTAGCCAGGCTAGCCATTTCCCTCTGATTCCAGTCATTATGCTAAGCTAGGATAACCAGCTGCTGGCTGCAAAACACACAAACATGAGAGTTGTATTCATCTTCTCTCTGACTCTTGGCAACAACGTGATAAGTGTATTCTACAAAATGTTGAGATATTCTTTAATAATATGTCTACATACTGACAGTGTGTGATATGTTGACTTTCAACACTGTACAACGAGCCCTCGATGCATCGCATGGTCGACACAATGGCATGGTGGGCTAGAAGAGTATTTTAACATAATCCCGATGCTTGACCTTCAGGACAGAACAGGCTCATTATGAACCACTCAAAACGAGCGTCGAGAGGCCAAGCTGTGCAGACAGTGAACGAGAGAGACAGTCAGGGTCAGTCTAATGTCTGCCGACTGAAGGATCCTCTTCAGAAAGCAGTCCCATCTTTGTCCTCTGCTCCACATTAAAGTACCAGGGATGGGTCATACTTGTGTTCTGTAAAGCTATAAGATAAACCCCCGTGTCAGCACACACATTAATGAAAATGTGCTGCATTTAGAAAATGATTGTTCTAATAGTCAGCTAGAAACATTAAAAAGTCAGCAAGAGAAAGCTTTTTTTCAGATGTTAACATTTGGAAGAGACACGCAGGCAGGCAAAACAGTTTCATAAATGAAAAGCTTGCTTTAGTCTTCGTCTGTCTGATAACAAGGACCACTTGTTACCAAAGTCAGGTGGTAAATCTGCAACTGTTGGGAACTGTGTGAGAATAAAAAGCTTGACAGGCAAAGCAACAGTAGAGTTTCTCATTAGTTACACAAACAACGAGGGACGGTGAGCCAGATAAAAATCACGTTTTTTTTAAATGTAGAGAAATTGCTAAAGGTATGTAGATTCTGACTACTGGCAAACACATCTCTTCCCCTTTGTTTGGATAGCCTCTGAATAGAGCGCACAGGCTAAGCTGGTAAAATGCAATAGAAAGCAGTAGAACAGGCAGGAGTCAAGACTTACTATACTGATACCATATGAGAGACATATTATAAACTCAATGTTGAGTGGGTGCAGTATAACACATGAAGAAATGAGGTACTAGGACAATTATGCAAAATTGAGGGGACAGAAAAACATCACATGTAACTTCTTAAATCTTTTACCCTATTACTGTCGTTAACGTAATCACTAAGATATGACTGTTGTAGTCACAACCAGATACCTTCTGTGTCTCTTAATATTATAGGAACATTATGCAGTGCTTGAAATGACGACATTTAAAATACAGTTTGAGTATAATTGTTATCGTTAAAACCGGCAATATCATTCTCCTCTCTTTCTTTCTTTACCCAGAGAAACGTGTCAGTTTTATGGCATACAGCATATCTGCCCTCCTTGGACACAGTAATGAACTTAATGCTAAATGTGCTTTTCTCATCTCTTACTCACAAGGAAAATAAATGGTCAAGGCTATAGTTGGGACAAAAAACTAAAGAACTTGAAGTTGGAGGAGAGACTGTGTTTTATCTTTAAAATGACATCAGACCATGTCTCTCTAAGGCTTTTTCGTCCAATGTGTCAATCTGTCCGTCAAATATAATTGAATCCGAGAGTGTTGGATCTTCTAGCAAACTTAAACTTCACAGCTCGGAAATCATGTTATCTGTACTTGTGATGAAAGTTCACATTACTAGTATCTTGAAAGAGAAATCCATTGGAAGCAGGAGAAAACCGTTTTGTATTGACATTAAATTATTACTTCAAGGCACAGAACATCAATGATAGCATATCAGAGTATTTATTGGCATTGAGTCTCCAGTGTGTATTTGAATGCATGTACCTTTATGACAGAAGGCTCCAGTGTAGGCTGACTGGTCACAGTTGCAGGAGAAACCATTAACTCTTTCCACACAGCGACCCTGGTTCTGGCAGAGCGAGCCGTAGCTGCTGCAGTGGCCCGGGCATCCAGGTCTGACACCTGGGGTGATCTTCGCCCTCTCCTCCAGGTCCAGAGTCACACCATTCAGCTGCAGGGAGCGGATGCAGCCGAGAAAGCCCTTCTGTCTCGAGGCGGTGCCTCCTGCAAACAAAAACAGATACTGTACACATTACACACAACTACTAGCACGCTGTGTCCATTTCCCCAGATTGGACTGACACCAAGTAACCCAATCAGAGCTTAAAACCTGCCCAATAGTCATATGTTCAAAAGCATCTCAGCTATATGCCTCTTATAATCAAGCAAACCCAAATCAGGTAACAATTATAAAAAGAAAACAATCTCCACCAAGTCCTTTAGATAATTCTGCATACAACCCAAAAAGTATTACATGGAGAGATGTAATTTTTAATGTTTAATGACATTTTTATTACAAAGCTCACTTAATAGCAATTTTAAAAAAGGAAAAAGAAAGTTTTAGCCTCAATGTAATGAGCTTAAAGGTGCAATGTGTACAAAATTGCTGGTATTTTAGTTGAAAACATTCAAAAAATGAACAGACATTATCAACAGAACTTGTAGACATTATGTCGTAGATGTCTTTGTGTTGTAGTGCCAGTCTGTTGTGTTGTAATCTCTGATCCTGCGATTCTCTTTAACGGGAGAATGCAGCTGCCGTATAAGGTGAAAAATGTCTTCCCGCCTAATGAAATTAGAACAAAGGTTGGAAGAAAAACAGCCAATCTGGCAACAGTGGTCACACTCACTTTTCATTCTCTCTCCGTATAATAGAGTCTATATTTTTTAGTTTTCTCTGCAGTAAATTATGATTGATAGGCACATGTTGCCAATGCAGCACAAGGCCATGGATGCTATGAGGGCACTGAGACACTGTCACTTCCTGTATCACTGTGCTGGATGTACAGTAGATTGGCTGGTTGTGGATGATGAGCCATCTGGTGTCCGATATTCATTCTTTCCACTAACAGGCGAGAGGAAGAAACTCTTCCTCTTTTCACCTGACAATTAGCATTCTAATATAACAACCTCACACTGTTCACAGAGTTTAGAATTGGACAAATTACAATTCTCCCTGAGTTCAAACTGGCAGCGTCTTTATTTTACATCCACGCATTACAGTTGTTATTGTTCTTGGCAAATGGAGTTGGCAGGGTATTACTCTCACAGTTTGAGTCTGGCGGAGCTTTAAATGTTCATCCAGAGCAGCTTTTCATTACACTAAATCTCTAACCTCTGTGCGCCTCTAGTTTCCATCTGCAGCAACAGTTATTAAACACAAAAAGCACACTAAGAGCTGAAATAGCGGGAAATGTAATTAATAATTTCTGTTGGCTCAATAAAGAAACATTTGGTTCCACTGAATCAAAGAAACATGCACGGTGAACTTTTATTAAATGATGATTTAACCAGGAAGACCTGAACTGGAAAGTTTGTAGAAAAGACTGGTTGGGACTGCAAAATAAGATCAACGTTTTGGTGCACTTTGCCCAAAAGACCAATAACATACTTGTGAGGGACAGAAACTTTGACAGAGGGAGAGAAACAAAGGACAGGAACTGCCAGAGAAAGAAGTCCTGCAGGACTCAAAAAAAAGACCACTGTACATGACAGTAAGGATGTCAGCCACTAAAGCAGCTTTTGAGGCTCACCTCATGGTGTTTCATTAACATACTCTGGGAATAGAGTATTTTAGTCAAGTGAAATGACTTGTGTAAACATGTGCTTGTGTAAAGGTAAAAGGTAGGTCAATTAAAATGTACTTTGAGTAAACATTACTGTGGTTACATACCTCAAAAGTGGTGTTGCCGGATAACGGTAAAGTAAATTAAAGAACACCTTTAGGCTACAAAAGTGCAATAAAATGTCAACCTATACACTAGCGGAACAACATCCACCGTTCGCAAGTATGAACCGCACCACAGAGCCCTTATGCCCAAACCCTTTAATCCTGAGCACACAATTGATTATAAATCATATAAGTCATTCTCCGAAACACTCCGACACACTAACACTCCACCAGTAAATGTATACAGATAGATGTATGTTTTCCAGATGATCAGATGAGGTCAGATGTAGTCTTCTCAGGAGCTCTGACCTCCTGCAACAATTTATCCCCTGTCTTTGTTGTCATAAACACAGATATTTGCTCACAACCAACACAAACACCAATACAATAACGTATTTATATGAGTATTATCTTAAATATAGATCATACAAGGATGTTTGTTACAGTGTGTACACAAAATGAATAGCTTCCTATGGCAATAAATAAAGTTGAACCAGAATAACTTTGTGTCGTATAAATTCAACCTAAGCAATATTACGGCTCATTAATTTAAAATATGGAATAATCTGTCTTGTTTAGTTTTACAAATCAATTTTATATATTACAAATAGGACACACTATTGATAGCGGTATAGTAGTCTCTGCAGTGTAGCGATTTATGATTTCACAGATAAGAGGCTGCTAACATTATGGATTAACAATAACAACTTCTGTAGCACATGGCCCTTCACTTTCCAAAACAAGTGCTTTTTGCAGTGAATCAAGTATTTGTCAAACACAAACACAAACTTTCGATCCCACAGTCTATTTCATAATCCCATCACATTTCCATTCAAACATATGAATATCTCTGCATTGCCGGTAAACACCAACCCGGGCAGCAATAACCAGGAGAAAGACATGATCACTTCTTTCTGGCTGTTCAGGATGGATTATTAGCTTATTGTTGGCAGTCAATCAATGCCCGCCTCCTTCTCTCTGCATCTCTCCAATCTCATCCTTAGTTGTTGTTTGATTTTCTCTTCAGAATGCTTGTTTACAAATTAACGAATACCCACAGTATTTGCTCGAAGATAAAGCCTGCAATGAATGTAAGTTGGATTTTTATCCACTCAAACACAGTTAGACAGATAACGATGAGAGGGTAAACAGAATTATGAATCTGTCTGTGGAAGAGATGAATTGAAAAAACTTTAAGCTGATGAAGTTGAGAGGAACAGAGAGAGAGAGAAAAGTGGAATTGTTCAAAAGTTGACCCAAAATGTACAACCCTGTCTCAAAAGTATGTTCCTGTATAATTAAACTGCATTCTCAATTAAGAAACAGATTTTGAAACGTAAATTGAAACAAAACAAAAATGCAACAAATCTACTTGGTTTGGTAAGACATCATGGTTTGGCTTAAGATAAGTAGGCCTATGTTTGATACCTTATTTAAGTTACGGACATAAATTGAAAAAGGTCAATAATGACTTTTGGTTTCACACGGGACACGGGTCTCCTGGGTAAACGTACTGTGTTTATTTGACCCACCGTCCATCCCGACCTTCTACCTACACGGACTTCCAAACTATCATTACTAAACGTATTCGTGATACGTCAAAAAACAAAGTAGTTTCGTAGTTTCTTTATATGGGAACGTAATGTTTAGGAGACCAGGTCGTACAAAAAAGTATTGCCTGTGTAGCCAAAGCCTGTGATGGCTTATTGTTTTGCGCCATAGAGCTCCATTATTGTCCAAAAACACCTGACACATACACTGTCCTGCTTCCAGAAATAGTCACTAGAGCACCACATCTACGTATATTGGCCTGAAAGTAGTCCTGTACATCTGTGACATCTTTGTAAAGCTTTATATCACCACGACTTGGAGGTACAGTAAGTGTCTCAAACAAGGTAGAAAAGAAAAGTCATGAGATGCTAAAGTCTATAGCCCTTCTTACACAAAGATTCCTCAACACTGCCATAAAGAAGATCTGCCTTTACTCCAACTCCAGCTGCCCATGTGGGACTCCTGTGGTACAGAGTACAATGTTGATCCCATAATGCTGTCTGAATGCTGTATGAACTGAATGGAAAAGAGGGCAGAAATAGCAGAATTTACTTTGTAAAATAAAGTCCACCAAGGTTAAACTGATCTGAATAGCTGCTTGTTGTTGAGACAAAAAAGACTAATCTCCTGGATTCCTCCACTCATGAAATGCAAATGCATGTGTTGCTATAGTCGTTGTCACAGATAAGAAATGATAACACACGACAGCAATTGTCACTTGCACTCAGCTGCTAATGAGATTAATGTTCAAACACCATAAATTACTCTCCCCCCTAATGCCTAATCTCAATCCTTACTATAACCTTAAACTCACCCTGACTCCCTTCAACATAAAATCCAAATCCTAACACTAATAAACCTTTTAAGTTCTCTCACTTTGCAATTTTCTTACATTTCGAAGGCATTGGGAAACACACACACACACACACACACAGACACGCACACTCACTCCTGCCCCTCACCTATGAATAACTGGCTGTTGAGCTGCAGATGACTGTGTCCGTCAGCAGGAGCCACTTGCGTGGCAGCAGGGAATTCGTCCACACGTAGCGATGCTTCCTTTACATTTCGCTCGGCTCGTATACTGTGCCACCGGTTGTCGTTCAGCTGGATGCTCGTCTCCACTCGAACCTCCAGCGGCCCGTTTCCCACGTCGAAAGAGAAGACGACCTCTGAAGCAGCTGGAGAGGAGGGTGTTGGTTGGCACAGTTTCAGCAGTTAAAGAAAGAGCAACAAATGAAATTGGTAAAAGAGAGAGATTGTTGTGCACATAGACTGTTTATTAAGAAGCATTTGGATGCCTGGGTGACAGTCACACCAGCAGAGTGAGTTTGACGTGTTCCTGCCAAATTCTACCAGGCTGATTAACAAACATTCCCTGACACTTTTAGATAACGGTGTCCTCTGATGAGTGAGACATTGCAAACCCCTCATGTTTCCCAGCTCCGTCTTTGCACAGAGAATAACACACTTTAAACGATCCATCATGGCAGTGTGTGTAATGGTGTTGACACTCTTAAAACTGTAGTGTGTTATGTAAGTTCTATTTGTTTATTCATATATGATAAAAATGAATTTGCTGAATTTTCTGACGTTCTAAGTGAAATTGTGTGAAATCCATTCAACCAATGAGGAACTATGGCAGAAGTATGAAGACCCTATTCTGTCAATTATTCTTACACAGTTAAGTATGTGGGTGGAATAGGAAGAGGGAGGGGCATTACATTCTTTAATAGTTTAAACATGATCTTACCATAAGGAGCTTTAAGAATTTATTAAGAAATATTATTGTTTTCTAACCATTTACTATTTATTGTAAAAATACAACAGACTTCAGACAAAAATGTGGATTTTTCTCCGACATTGTTAAATGTAAAAGCATTTTACTAGACTGTGTCATCTTTCAATGAACCCATTAGTGAGTCGTGTTCCTCCATCACAATATGTTGGCGGAAGTTTGAAGTCACTTCCTCCCATCAGACCATCTGCTGGCAGGATGGACAGACAGCTGGACACAGATCTGAGATGATCCAGAGACCAGTCCAAGGCTAGACAGAAAGGCTGCAGCCACAGACTCACATCTGTTAGTTTCTCTGTGTGATTGTGCCAGCGCTGCTGAAACCAAGCCTGAGCACCAGTCAGAGATCATGCAGTTGTGTGGTATCAACCGTGTCTATAGCTATTACCTTCTTCAGTCCAGCTCTGCATAGTCGTCATGCAAGCAGCATTCTTTGCAATATTTGAAATCACATCTAATGACAATTTCCACATCCAGTGCGGATTTTGTAGGCTCACTGTGAATGACAAGTGTGTCATCTGGCTATGATTTGCTTAATATTCTCAATTGGAACTAGTTGCCTTGCAAAATTATAGCATTTACTGGTCCATTCATTTTTCAGGTGGACGATCCGCCGCTTTGCTCCAGACTGAAATATCTAAACAAATATTGGACAGATTGTTATGAAATGTTTGGATGAATAATGATACCCTGACTTTTCCTGTAGCGCCACAAACAGGTTTACATCTGTGGTTTTGAGTTAGATATCTCCACAACTATGGATGGATTGTACTTTGTACCTTTAGTCATCCCGAGCATTTTAGCATTGCCATTGTGAGTAGGCTATGTTAGCAAAGTTGTGCCTAAGTACAGCCTCAGAGAGCCGATAACAGCAATAACAATAATAAGTGATCGTAAACTTCACTGTTCTCCACTTTGTTCAGAAGTGGAAGAAGTATATAGATCTTTTACTAGAGTAAAAGTAGCAATACCAGAAATACTCCATAACAGGTAAAAGTACAAGTTTTGTACCTTTACTAAAGTAAAGTAAAGGTTATTGATTATATTTTGCATTATTCATTTGTACTTAGCTACACTTCTTGAGTAAATGTACTTTCCAACCCTGACTTTGCTGATACATCACATAAAAAAAATGGCATTCAACTTTTTTAGCAGAAAGCAATTTAAGACATGAGAATGTACCATATGTCATCTAGTGGACACAAATCCAATGCAGTGCACTTTCTTATTAAAGTAGGTTGTAAGTATGTGCCATCACAGTGGGACTGAAACACCAAACCTAATGTAGGTTGGCATGCTTTAGTCATTCATCTCCACAGCTCTATTAGGTTAACAACTTAACCTATAATAAAGAGAGGTGAGGATGAAGGCCACATGGAGTCCGTTCACCCATCATAACACTGCCAGCATGCCTACACTCCACATTTAGGGGTGAAGTTATCAGAGAGGTGAGATCTGTGCCTGAACACAACATCATCATCCCTCATGAATGACACGGACAGTGGAGGTAAAGCTGTACCACTGTGGGATTGTGGAACCAGGTGAGACTTCATTGAGAGGCTGCTCTCTGACCCAGCTCCAGTCATGTTACTCTAACAGCAGTAATAACGATACAGAGTCTTAAGGAACACCAGCTGTTATAATAATAATATTGATAACAGTAATAGAGCTGCAGTGAGATAAGAGATGCGTGTCACTGTAGCAATGCCAGGATTACCCCAAGGAGGAGGGTTACCATTTGTCTTGTGTCGTGTGTGTGTGTAATTCCCACAGATCACTTGTCACACTGGATTTCATGCAACAGACTTCTTTTTCAACTTACACAAAACAAACTAACATAAAAGCATCCCTTCCTCTGCAGCAGAATCATTTATGATTACGCTATGACAAACATTAATTCTAGGTCTCAGCCTTTCCTGATCTGACGCAACTATCAGCAGGACATCATTTAAAAGTGCCTTTCAAAACTTCAAAAAATAAATAAACCCAATTTCTGTTCTTTTTCTATTGTTAAGGCTTGGAAAGGTTTAGGTACAGATCATGACTTTGGTGAAAATAAGTACTTTGTTTACTTCGTTAAGGGTAGGGAAACATTACGGTTTGTGTTGCATTGTCATGGTTAAAAAGAAACCAACTCTGACTTTCAGTAGAAAACAGGAAATAAACAGCGCTCCCCTGTGTCAAAATCAACATAATGTTGAGTCATCCAGGTAATCTATCCAAGGATTCGATCTTCAATCTTCAAATTACATCTACTCACTTTAACCAAAATGAAAAATCTAATCCATGAATATGCTTTTTTTTTTCATTTCAAAAGTCCAACTGACACAAATGCCACACATTGTCTCCTGCTTCCACAATGGGATGACACAAAATCATGCTTGTATGTACACACCTTAAACTAAGATTTTAAGGTGAGCACAGAGAATCTTTCCCCTTTCAGCTGATGAAAGTAAAAACAGAGGGACTTTAACATCATCATGCCATTGTTGGTTGTTGCTCTCTTTTAACTTGAGAGTCTCCCACTACCAGGTATTTAGAAGAAAACTGATAATGACGCAGAACATTGTTTAGATTACACTTACAGCTGAGTTCGATCCGGATGAAGTCCTTGATGCCAAGATTTTCCAAGAAGACCCCAGAGGAGGACTTTGTCTTAAACAGGAAAGCAATGTCTGCATTCAGCTCTCCGTGGAAGGTGGGAAAGTGAAGGTAAGATGTCTCCTTGTCAAAAAACGCAGCGTTCCAGAAGTTCTCTGAAAGTGTCAAACAAAGTGCTTAAATGCTTCATATGCTTACTCTTTTGTTTCCTAAAAAGGGGGTACATTTATGTATTTATCTTTTCAAAAAGTTGACATATCAGTCTGGAACACAGCTTATTTAAAATAAATCTCATTGTGATGGCTGTATAATGAAAATCGTGTAGTAAACAAATGCACCGACTGTTCAGCAAATTAGCTGACAACAAAGTCATAACTCCAGCAACGCTATCTCATTTATGTTGATTTATCTCGCATGGTGCTTATTTATTAATTAATTTACTCATTAAACTGAAGTCTGAAATTAGAGGCAATTAAAACAACGTAAAATGAATCACTTAGATTAGTTTTATTAAATAGCTTTTCACTAGAGGTTGTTATTAAAGAGAACAAATTAAGTCATATTTTAGTTGGTGGTCTGCTAATTAGCTTGTGTAATTGGCCTATTAACCAATTTGCCATTAAGAAGTTAAATGGCAGGGGGAAGACTGGATACAGTTATTCATGTAGTTCAGTTCACACAAGAGTTCAACAATGGGTAACTGTGGCTAAGTCGAGAGCAGGGCCGTCTTTCAATCAGAGGATCGGTGGTTCGATCCCCGGCTCTGGCTCCGCTAGTTGAATGTAGATGTGTCCTTGAGCAAGACACTTAACCCCCCGACAAAATTGCTGTATGTGATAGAATCTGAATTGTAAGTCGCTTTGGATAAAAGCGTCTGCTAAATGACTGTAATGTAATGTAACATGTTCTCACCTCCAAATCATCAAATAAGACCGCTTGGTCAGTAGCTCTAAGCTTCAAACTATGACGCTCTAGGTACCTTTTAGCATCAGTTTTGGACCTGTCAGTAAGAATGGTCTCTACAGCTGAATAAAACCGATTAATTGAATAATTTCAAATTCCATAAAAACACTATTGTCAACGAAGTGTTAACATTGGCACCAACTTCAGGTTAAACAATAACCAGCAACTGAAATGGACTTACTGTCTCCATGACAGCGTAGGGGTCCCACCCTGTAGGCAGCCTCTGACCCCGCCCGCTGAATGTCACCCAGCACCAGAGACCTGACTGGGAGGCTCCCCTTATAGGCGAGTAGACCCGAGTCATCAGCCCTGTAGGAGAAGGAGGATAAAAAGGACAAGGAAAAGGAAGAGGAGGAACATAAAAAAGACAAAAAGGAGGGGGCATTTTAAGCACAGACTATTCATTCAATTAAGCATAATAACACATTTCTGCCCTGCTAAAAGTACATCTTCCGCTTTTAACAGAATTTGTTTAGTCTTTCCTTTGTCGTAGTTGAAAAAAAAGTAGCTGTCATTTCTGTGTAAGTGTGTTTGTGCACTGCCAAGGAAGTAGTTGGTACAATTACAATGTAAAACATGTGCCCACCTGAACTCAAATCAAACCGTTTTAGAGGGAGTGGGACACACTGTAACACTTGAGCTCTCGACTGTCTTCATTTGTTCATTGAGGTTCACAAGTAGACAATCAAATGAAGACATTTCAGCTGACACAACATGTCTCAGCAGACGTTTTCCTCATGAACTGAGTGATTCATCTGTACATTCATCGCCACCATTCACTCTCTCAGCTCTGTGGTGTTTCAAATGTTGCTTTGCTGCTGAGAAAATTTTGTCAAAAAATAAATAAAGGACTGTGGCCCCACACAGCGCCAGCGAATGTGATGAGAGATTGACGGCTGATAAAGTCTATAAGAATAAAGTAGAAGTCGCACAGATTTAGGCAGTGAGATAATAGAGAGAAGGACCTTTGGCTATGCAGACAGTTGCAAGATTGGTTTCAATATGGGAAAATGAGTCTAACTGCAAAATTGGTTCCAGGATTGGGGAAGGTGACCTAAATACAGAATTGCTTACAGCATGGATAAAAGGATTTAAATACAGGATTGGATAAAACATGGAGGGATGCTTGAATATCATGGGATTTATCCTGGATGTCTCATGGCTCTTTTCTGTCCAGTACGGCAGGATGCGATGGGGGTAAACACTGAATTGTTAATGAATGACTTAATTGGAGCAGTAGGACAGATTCCACTCAATCATTGACTCTAATGAGTAAAAGGTTTCCTTTCAAAGACAATCTTACGTTGTTTTATACCTGTCTTTAAAATAAACATTAAAATATTTCCTTTTATAGCTGGTCCATCCAAATCATTGTCTTGATAACATTACATTTCAGTTATAACATTTTTAATCATTTACTGTTGCCAGCTGTACTTACACACAGTGTTGTACAGGGGCTGTTGGGGATGTCATTAGTATTGCAGGTATTTGGTCATAAACCAAAGTATCAGAGTATCAAAGTATTGACCCAATATTTTTGGATAACACTAAAGTTAGTAAGATTCATCCTCTGGGTAAATGGATGTATGTACAAAATGTCATTAATGTCACTACCAATATTTAATGTCAATCCATCAAATAGTTGAGTATGGACCAAATTGCTATACCGACCGAACAACTGACATTGTCATCTCAATTGCTATAACACTAGCATGGCTAATCAATAAGCTATCAATAATCACTGTCAATGTATGTTAAAGTGCAGGTAACCATAGAATCCACACCTCACTCATTACCAGTTAACTCATTGGTGAAACTAATCGAAACATGGGCTAAACTGGAAAAAATGAATAAAACTTTGACAACATAGCCTCCATTATTTTCCTTTTGAGCAATAGTGCACTCCAAAGTGTCGCAATATAGGAAACAACTCTGTAAAGTGCACATTGCCTCATGTTATTGTGAGGAAACCCTATATGTTTTATGCATTGGGTATTCTGTAAGATAGCTGATCATGCATTATTGCTTACTTTATTTTGAAATTCAAAAGGTCAGATTCTAAAGATTGGTTTCATCAAGATAAGATAAAACCTTTTTTTGTCCCTTCACATGAAAATTTGTCTTGCATCACAAAACGTCCTAACTTTTTCTAACTCACACAATAATGTACAGTACCATTGGTCATAGTCAGCATCACAGTTGCAGTAGTGATTTGAATCCAGACAGTTGTCCTGCAGACCACAGGCACACTGCCGGCTGCCCGGCAGTGCCCCGCCCCAGTACGTCTGGATCTCACCTGGATCTGGACCTCCCACCCACCAGGCGAATGGAGCACCCTCTGAAACACACACACACACACACACACACACACACACACACACACACACACA